TCACCGTCCTGGTCTTGGGCTCCGTCCCCAGAGTCACGGGGAGGTCGATCATCCCCTTGGGAACCAGGCTATCCTCGGTAAATCCATAGAGTGGCAAAGGGCACGCCCTCAGATCTCTCTATGTGAACCTTATTTGTCAGAAAGCTCCTCAAAAAATGATGTTCGTTGCACTCCCATTGTCGACCATTACCCTCTGTACTCGGGCATTATTGATTCTAGCTGTGATTACAATCACGTCATGATTGTGGCGAGGGGATTCTTTACATTCCTCGATCATGAAACCTACTACCTCGCTTTTCTATTTGGGTCACTTGGGCGTCTTCTGTTCTTAGCTCATTATCCAGGGAACCAAGTTTGTCCTTCCCTCACGAGCATATTGCTCATGAGCACGCCTTGAGTTCCCTGCTATGTCGGCTCCCCCCCCCCCCCCCCCCCCCGGGTAGACCATGCCTACCTAGACTTTGTTGTTGGCATTTGGCGGGGCTTGCTGGACCTGATTTGGGCTTGGTTTTGGTCCTAGTTTAAGATCTGCTTGTTTTGCTAGCCTGGATTTTTGCGAGCTAGTGCCGTCTTAATGAATTCTTTTAAGTGGCCACTTCTTATCAAGTCTTCAATGACATCCTTCAAAGCTCAGCACTCGTTTGTGTTGTGCCCGATATCTTGGTGGTATCGACAATACTTTTGTCGATCTCTTTTGTCCGAAGCCTCCCTCATTCTTTCTGGAGTGGGTAGTCTCTTCGCCCCATGGAAGACTTCATAGATGTGGGCGATGTTCTGAGTGAGGGGGGTGTATTTTGTGTACCATGAGAAGGGTTGCCTGTCTCTACGGTTACTTGTTTTTTGTCTTTTTTGGAACCTGTTGCGGTCCCTGTCATTGCGGTTTTAGTCCCCGTGGTTATCCGATAGGCGATCTTGTTGCTTGTTCGAGGCCCCCCGCGTTGAACTTTTGGCCAATGTTGCCAGCGAGCTTCCTACTAGTTGGTGTTTTATGGCCATCTGGTAGAACTTGGCCAAGCTTACATGATCCTCACTTTGGAGCTCTTTCCACAGCTCCGTTTTGGTCTGATCCCTGCAATCAGCAAGGTTCAGATGGACTCTTCGGGTGCATTTGCAACCTTCGCTTGTTTGTTCTAGAACCTCGTCAAGTATGAGGTTAATGTTTCGTCTCTCTTTGGACAAATGTTGCTCAAGTAGCTAAGCGGCACTGTGAATTGCCTCCTCGCTTGAAATTGTTGTAAACACAGTGAGGAGAATTGTTGTCAAGAGTTGATGGAGTTCGCCTTGAGCCTCTTATACCACCTCTTGGCATCCCCTACTAGTGTGACTATGAAGCACTTACACTTCGCCAAATCAGAGACCTAGTGCAGCTCCATCAGGTCGTTGAAATTATTGAGGTGGTCTCTCAGGTCCCCTCTCCCGTCGAACTTACTTTTTGGTGCCCTGAATCCTTACGGAAGTAAGGCCTAGTAAGCTTCCTCTGTAAATGGGGAACTTACTATTTCCTCGGCCATGCCACTCTCGCAGGCGTTTAGATCGTCGAGTATTCTCTATACATGATCTAAGTGTTCGTTGTGGTTGTTTTAGTTGGCTCTATTCAGCCTCACTTTGAGCAAATGAGTTTGCAAATCCATTGCTTGCGAAGCTCTTCTATTGTGCGCATTGATGCGCGAAGTTTAGTCATGATGGCTAGGCTGATAAGTGTTATCATGCTCGTCGGTTTGTTGGTCGTGATGTCAGTTATAACCAGAACATCGATCATTGCCAGATTGGCACACATGGCTCGTCTCCCGAGCTAGCGGGGATCGATCTTGTCTTGGGTATGGTTTAATATTGGGACGCTGACGTTGGGGAGATCGCTGAGCATCTCCTAGATGACCGTTGCCTTCACTCTCCCCCAATGGTTGTTTCCCTAACTGCCTCCCAAGGTTAGTTTGCCCTTGAGACTCGAGCTCGTAAGAGAAGTCCAGCTTGCGATGTTGGCAGTATTGGCCGCCTTCTGGCGCCGATGAACTGGACTAGCCGCCTGTAGAATTCATACCTGTTGGGGCTGGCGCTAGTGAAGCGCGGTTGGTTAAGATTCTAGGCACGTGGTTGTTGATTCCTCAGCTCAGCCATGTTTTGTTGCACCACCTGTGCAACCATTATTCTGATCATTTTTACCAGCTGGCTGTTTTCGAGGTTTGACATCCCTACCCCTTGGTTATTCACAACATGCTAAGTTGGCAGCATAGGTGGTCGGTGTCCAGCGACGTCCTATTGTACCTCCTAATGGGTGGTCTCCACATTCTCAAGGTTTCCGGTGGTGGTCTTTGATCTGGTGTACACCATTATGGGCTTGGATTGGGTAGATTATTGCGATTGTTCGTAGGAATTGTTGTGATGTTGGCGAAGACCCTCTTTCTAGCACCAAAATGTTGATACAGAAATCTACACCAACTAGAGAATTCTGATCGACCTTGATGGGACCAGAATGGATGTGCGCGTGATTATGGGTATCAACGACAGATGAATATTAGGTGCGATAAAATAAATGACAATGAGAATTTTTAAAGTGATTTGACGAGATAAACTCTTAAGTATACGTCCACTATTTTTTGTATTTGCTGTGAGAGCTTACAATGAGAATTTTGTGTCAAAGTCGTAACCCCTTTTTCATCATTTGTGGGGGTTTATATAAAAGGTTTGTATAAAGGAAATAGCAAAAATAAAGATATTACAATTGATCTGAACTGCAATTCCAATATTCTCGCAATTGGGTGGTGCGATCGCGTAGAGTTTGATGTTTATTTGGTCATTCCTGCAATATCTGGGATCTGAAGATATCTAGGAATTGATTGAATGATCATTCGCATTGTTTGCGACTAGCTTATGCTAGATCGAGTTATGTGTTGACGAGCTTGTGCTGGGTCGGACAACCGGTGGAGTCGGATTGGTCCTGGGTCGAGCTATGTCCTTGCGGTAGCCCGAGCTAGTGGAAAAACGACACACAACATTAATTTTAACAAATGTTCATTTAAAAAAAATGTTTTCTTTTTATATTATATATCAAACACGTTTTCGCTATTTTTAATATCAAAGAAATTTGGAATATAAATATTTGAAACACCTTAAAATGATAGCAAAAAACACCTTAAAATTTGGAATATAAATATTTGAAACACAAAATGCACTTATATATTACTAGAAATGTAAAATTATAATTATTATTTGGAAGAACATCTCTTGAATATGATAACAATAAAATTTTATAATATTTGACAGAATAATTTTAATTATTTATTCTTACAAGTAATAATAGTAATAAAATATCTATATAGGATTATATATTTTATTGATTAACAGTAATAAAACTACCTCACATGATTCTCTATGTAGAATTAATACTCAATTATTAACTTGTTTATTATAAGTCATTTAATAAATTCTTAATGATCTAAATTTAGAAGCACCCAAAGTGCTTTTAAAATCTAGTGATTATAGTATTAATAAGGTTAGAAGGAATATATATATATATATATATATATATATAAGATATCATATAGTAAAGAATATCGTCCTTATGTAAATTAAAAAAACAAAAACAAAAAAAAAAAAAACCTAAAATTAAGCTAGTGGAAATAAAGGAAAGGCACTTGCAATATTGATGGCATAATAAGTGCTTTTGGTGGAAGTTGATAGTGATTAGATTAGCTTATTTCTAGGTAAATGAACATTTCAATTCATTTCTAAACAACCTAAAAATTAGAAAGAAACAAACTAGAAGCAATAAAAGTCTTGGTCATGAATAAAATGCCATTAAGTGCTTATACAAAAAGCACTTTCAAAAGCAATACCCTATTGCATTTTAAATGCATATATATTATATGATAATTATGGCAATGAAAATGCCCCAAGAATAGGGTTATATGTAAAAGTATTAATTCAATAGCATTAGAATGATTATGTTTAGCCTTATAAAGATGGTGATTTATTGATTCACATGGGATTCCACATCCCCTATGTTACGTCAACAATCATACCAGTTTGGATCTAATTGATAGATTTTAGGGGATAAAATGTAATATTTAATATATGCGGAGGCTACAACAGCTTTGCCCTTTAGTATCGATAGTTCGAATCTTAACCCTTACTAATGTTCTAAATCTCAACTTTATATACATAGAATTACCAACAACTTACCAACAACGAAATCATTGGCTACACACAACTTCACCCTTTAGTATCGATAGTCTGAATCTTAACCCTTCAGTACTAATGTTCTAAATTTCAACTTTATATACATAGTATTATTATTACCAACGGCGAAATCATCAGGAAAGTAAAACAAGAATGTATATACATCATATAATTCAGATTCATTCAATTAAGTAACATTTAATACTAGATTTTCGTAATCAGTAACATACTTAATATTGCTCAACTTATTACCAAAACATCGAAAACCTGGTAACGTACCTTTAAAAAGAGCTTAATTTAGGGTAAGTAACTATATATATGATTAATGGTGGGTCCATATATAATATGGGTTGTATTCTGCTTACATGGCTTAATGCAATTTGGTTGCTTCAAGTTTTTGAAGATAGCCAAAGTTGGGATTTGGGAACCCAAGAAACAAAACTGAAAGCAAAAATTAAATTAAACTTTTTCATAAATTTATTTGTAAGATATATAGTGGTTACAAATATAATTTTGTCCCCATGCAAATGCACAAGTGCTGCAAGAAAGAAAAAAATAAAATCCTCAACCGTTTCTCTCCATTGCATGCAATTCATCTTCTTCTTCTTCTTTCTTCATCACTTTCAGTTTTAAATAAAGCTGTCTCTGTCATTCTTCACCTTTTTTTTTCTCTATAAATTATCTTCTAATTTTATTCTCATTCACCACCCTTTTCTTTTTCTTCTTCTTCTTCAATTTCTCTCAAACCAGCTAGTTTTATTTTTGTTTTCATCTATATATATAGAGAAAACCAGCTAGGTTTGGAAGAGGGGATTGAAGGCAAAATGTTGAGTGATTTTCTTCCATTTTTGTTGATGGTTTTGGTTCAAGCTGGGTATGCGGGCATGAACATTACTTCAAAATTGGCCTTGGACGCCGGCATGAAGCCTCTTGTTCTTGTCACTTACCGGCAAATTTTTGCCACTTTCGCTATTCTCCCCTTTGCCTATTTCTTGGAGTGGTAAAGTACTTTCTACAATTTTTAACCCTTTTCATCTTGTATTTTTGATGGCCTTTATCATGAATATGTTCATACATGCATGTATTAGTTCATTTGTTTTGAAAGTTTTGAGCTTAGTTTTTTAGTCAATGAACTCTAAATTTCCATGCTTGAAATGGGGTTTTAATTACTGATCTTTTTAGTTCTTGATTTACTCTGTAAATATGAAGAAATGGGTTCATTATTTTTCTTGGTTGTTTTTGTGAAAATTAAGTCTAAATTTCATGCTAGAAATGGGTTTTCATTAAAAATCTTTTGATTTCTTAATTTGTTTTGTATATTTTTAGCTCATTATCACTAACTTTTTATATATTTAAGTAATGGGTTATCAATCTTTTAATTAATTAATTCTAGAGTTGCATAAAATATGATTTCATTTAATTTCAATCTGATATATAATAAAATATTTATTTTGGCTCTGTTTGGCTGCTGAGAATCAGTAGGAAAGTGACAATAGGATATTTGATGTTTAATATAGCTTTGTATTTTCTTTCTTTTCAATTTGAATGATTTTTTTAACAATTGACTTCTCCTTCTCACCATGTTAATTAATTTTCCGCGTTGAGTTGTAAACAGCCATTAAACCTTTGGAAATGTTGAAATTGTTCAGAACTTTTGCTTCTGATTTCTGATTTTGAAAACAAAAACACAGAAATTAATTGTGGTATGTTTTAGAGGCCATGCATGGCCGCCATGTCATACATGAACAGTGAAACGTGCCAGCTTGTTTCGATACAGATGGCAATTAATTAGCTTTGGAAGAATTTATTTTTTACTTCTAAATTCGATTAACAAATGGCATTTATGGCAACCATGCATGCATGCATGGTTGCCATGTCATGCATGCTCATCCACATGCATTAATTACCTGCCTAATTTCAATTGGGGTTAGTTAAACCATGTCATGCATGCTCATCCACATGCATTAATTACCTGCCCAATTTCAATTGGGGTTAGTTAAAAGCTATGGTAAAATCTTTTTCACCTCTCTTAAGGTTTGATATAATCACAGCTAGACCCCCTTCGCGCGGAGAGGAGATATGAGCTAGTTGTAATTTGTTTGATTCAATTCATAACTCTTGACTTTTACGTTGAACTATAATGGTAAAAGTTCATTTAGTTCGCTTAAGGTTTGATATATTCACAGACGGATTCCTTCATGGGATGAGAATGGAGAAATTAGAAACGAGTATATTTTCTGGAAAATTCAGGGTTATAATCCATTTTGGTGTATTTTTTTGCAGGAAAACCAGGCCAAAGATCACAAAGTCCATTGTTTTCCAGATTCTCTTGTGCTCTCTTACTGGGTAAGTGTTCTGTTCTTCAGCCAAATTGAGTCGAATGTCCTGTATATAACACGTTTGAGATTTACTCTGTTCTTGAACTGATCCTGCAGCGCCACCGGGAACCAGGTGCTTTACTTTATTGGACTAGCGTATTCCACCCCAACAATCGGATGTGCATTGACAAATTTACTACCAGCAGTCACTTTTATCCTCGCAGCCATTTTCGGGTACAAAAATTAGTTGTAATGTATCCCAGTTTCATTAGCAAATAGCGCCAATCTTGACCATTTTGATTGCTGGTGTGTTTTCTAGGCAAGAATTTGTTAGAATCAAGACGAGACCAGGGCAAGCGAAGGTGTTTGGCACAGCGTTGTGCGTCGGCGGAGCAATGTTACTGTCATTTTACAATGGAAACATGATTCCAGTACCTAATTCAGGCATTCACTGGAACTATGCCGACCGGATGAGCCAACGAAACGCTGGCGGCCAATCAAACTTGGTCCTGGGTTCCATTTTACTGATTGGTAGTGCGGTTTCTTGGGCAGCATGGATCGTAATTCAGGTTGGCATTCGAAAACTAAAATATGTTAATCAGCAGTTTAGGATCATAACCTTTTATTGATGTCATTTGTCAATGATTTTAGACGCAAATGAGCAAAAAGTTTCCGGCTCCCTACACCAGTACAACATTGATGTGTTTCCTGGGAAGCATTGAGTGTGGCGCGATTGGCCTCATCGCTGAACACAAACTTTCTGCGTGGTCACTGAGCTCTCCCATCTACCTTATATCAGCCATTTACACGGTAAGCTTCACATTGCTTTGTAAACTTTAGTACAATTAGTTCGATTTTAGAGGCATCTTTTCAAGTACCACGATGTGGATTAAGAAAGAATTAACATACTAATTGTTTCCAGGGAGTTGTGTGTTCCGCACTTGCATTCAGCCTCACATCCTGGTGCATTCAAAAGAAAGGTCCTCTCTATGTCTCAGTGTTCAGCCCGCTGCTGCTCATTATCGTTGCGATTCTCAGTTGGGCTCTGCTTCGGGAGAAACTATTCGTGGGAACGTAAGTGTATATATATTCCGTTAGCTTATTCGCGCAAAGTTATTTTTCCGATCACATTGTAAATCAAGAAACAATAATGATTTGTTTTATTATGTACTGGTTGGTTTATAGCGCGGTTGGTTCAGTTTTGATTGTCGTCGGGCTCTATGCTGTGCTGTGGGGAAAGGATAAGGAGCTTAAGCTTGACGAACCCATTAAAGGAACAGAAGCAACGACGAAGCAAGTGAATAGTTTCGATATGGAAATGCAGCCGGATGCGAGTGGAAATGGCACCAACCGTCGGGCTTCAGGTTGATGAAAATGGAAGAAAAGAATGCAGATTAGTTAATCTGGTCAGTTATGTGTTTTGTTTCGATCTCCAAGTAGAGCTGCCATGAATCTTTTTGTTCAAAAACTGAAGATAAAGAACATGATCCATGGATCAGCTGGTCAAGTTTTTCAGGTTTTTGTTTGAGTTTAGTTGTAATCAAGAAGAACAAATTTCATGTTTCCATTTGACGTACTTGAATCTTCAAAACTTAATAAGTTCTCACTTGCTTCACAACTCTAGTTAAATGGTATGTTTGGCAGACTCTTGTTTAGATGATATCAGTAACATTAAAATATAAAATTTTACGGTTTTTAATATAAGAAATTTTAACTAAATTTCTCTCCTCTTCTGTTCACCGGTGTTAATAATATGATAACGGTAATTAACTATGGTCTTAATAAAAGTAATATCAGTACGTTCTGTTTGTCGAGTCGAGCTTGAGCTCGAATACTGATTCGAGTCGAGTTTGATCATGGTATAACTCAACTTGAAAAGCACGATTAAGTTTGAAAAGCTTGATTATACTAGCTCGAATTCTAATTTTAGGTACTGAGTTCGAGTTCGAACTCGATTCCTCAATCTCGGTTAAGGTCGAATTCGAACTCGAATTCGGTACTGTAGAAATCGAGTCGAGTTCGAGTAGCCAGATACTCGACTCGATTTCACTCATAATTTTGTCTAGAGAATGACAACATATATATGATTTTGACACTTGTTATATAATGCGTCTACTAGACTTAAATATTAAACTTTTGGCTTCAATATTTTCTTAATGTAAGTGATTATTATGTAATAAATTTGATATCGGATTTTTTTTTTTTTTATTAAGTGATTTCATAATGTCGGTGATTGCTGTTTATATAATGATTTTGAAACCGAGTTTAAATTGTAATTATGAGGGTTAGATGGATAGTCCGATCTATAGTTTGTTTTTGTAAGTTTCAAATCCAAGTTCTTTATGGACCTATATTTTGGACTGTTATCGCTCCTTAAAGATTGTAGGGTTAAATATCGATCAAAGTTAAATCAAAGCCAATAATCATATGAATAATAATAAGTTTGGTCATAAGCTTTCTAGGATGCAATTATTCATGCCATTCCCATTACATTTTTAAAGATATGTAACTAAAATTATGTAACTTTTAATATGAACTTCTCATTTTCAATTTGTAAATATATGAATCCAAGAAACTTCACCTTGAAGAAGACTTATGTTAAAGAATAACATTGTTTAATTGAGTAAAAAATTTGTGAAAAAGAATATTAGAAAGGAAATACTTATAAAATTTATTGAAATATTATTCTATATTTTATAAATTAAAAGGGTACTTTCCTAAACGTAATTAAAATCCGTGTGATTGTGAATATATTCTAACCTCCCAAGTATTTCTTAGGATGTTTGTCTGATTATCGTTAATCTCAAAAATCGATGAGTGGTCGTTGAAAAGTAATCACAAGAGATATCGTAAACGATTTCAAATAATAGGAGATATATTTGAGATTACACTAAAATTTAGAAGATGCTACCGAAATTACAAGTAATTATATTAGGGTTGAGAAAGAAATGAATAATAAATTTTAACCGAAAATTGATTATAGTTTTCAAGTTAAACGGTCTACGATTAATGAAATCCGCAATTAATGAAATCAAGTAATCACTAAATAATTGAATTAGCAACATTAACGACTTGTGATACATTTTTACTATATTTATTTATCGGATCGACTCGGTATTTTTTCTAAAGAATAATACTACACATATATCATTCACATACAACATTATGTGACAAGATATGATTGAGTAAAAGTTTAATTTTAACTTTAAATTATTCAATTATATCTTACCACATAATGTTGTATGAAAATGATAATCTTGCCACGCAATGTTATATAAAAATGGTGTATGTATAGTATCAATCTTTTCTAAATCCTAAAAATAAAATAAAAAGGCTATCCCTACACTTTCCCACACCATCTCTCACACACACCCCCTAACGATTTCGTAATGCCGTGAGGGAGCTCACCTCATCTCAGCCGCAGAGAAACTAACGTCGTCAAACTCCCGTCATCTCCATCCCACTATAAATATCATTATAGTTCTTTCCTCCTCATTTCCCTCTTCCTCTCGGGCGGCCTCCTTCAGATCTTGTAATCTCTCTCTCCATTTTTCATTATTTTACTTTGCTTTATTTTCTCATATTTCATGTATTTGATCCATTATTTACTTTTTTAATCGTTCTTTTGTTGCTTTTTTACGGCTTTTTTTTTTTTGATGATGTTAATGTGATTTAGATCTGGGTTTGAGTTTATTTCTGTGGATAGGTTTAGATCTGATGTGATTTGATCTTCTTTTTAGTGATATTTAGCGTGTTGTGTTTGTTTGCAGTTGAAATCTGATCTGGGTTTCTGATTAAAGTGTGAATATTTTTGTGGATCTGCTTGTTATTTGGATTTGTTTTGTAAATACCCATTTGCTTGTATTTGATGGAAAGAGGGTGGAGCCATTTGGGTAGTTAATGTTTTTGTGAGATTTCATTGTGTTGTTGAGAGACTTCAGCTTTTCTATTGTGGTTTGGTAGTTGGATTTTATGATGTTTTTGGGATCGTATGCGTTTGGTTTTTTCAGATCTAATTATGGTTGGTATTTTTTTTTTTTTTTTTAGTGATATTGAAAGTGTATGCTCATGATATCATCTTATAAGTCGGTGGAGATCATGGGATTTTTGAAATATAAAAAATATGTAGATATAGCTGTGGTTATGCAATGGAAATTTCGTTTGTGTTAAGGGGAAATTGATTTTTTTTTTTAATATGGGTAGGATCATGTGTTGGGTTTATGTGATAGATCTTGGAGTTTGTTATGGCATGTTTGTGTTGTGTTATCTTTTGATTAAGGTTCTAAATGAGATTGTTTTGTATGCAGCTGAGATTTTAGCAAGATGGGGCTGTCATTTACCAAGCTTTTCAGTCGGCTTTTTGCCAAGAAAGAGATGCGAATTCTGATGGTGGGTCTCGATGCGGCTGGTAAGACCACCATTTTGTACAAGCTCAAACTGGGCGAGATTGTGACAACCATTCCTACAATTGGTATGCTTTGCATAATTAGGGCTACATGTTAGATTCTTTATAATAAGCAGATTTAAAATGGCTTATGGCTGATGGTAATTATTGCTTTTTGGGCAGGATTCAACGTGGAGACTGTTGAGTATAAGAACATTAGTTTCACTGTTTGGGATGTTGGGGGTCAGGACAAGGTATGTGAGGATGGAAAGATTATATTTAATTGTATTTGAGAAAGTTCAGGGTGACGGTTTTTGAACTGTCTCTTACATTAAAAAAAGGATTCTATGTATCCCAGCTTTGGCATGTTATTTTTTGTAGTTGTTCATTAACGACATATTGTGGAGTGCTGGTGGTCTGATCTTTCTTGTGTTTTATTTATGGATACCACGTTGCTTTTCATATTTCTTCTTTTTGAGATGTAGAAAAACAGCTGTCTCCATACTGGTGCCTGTCGTATATGTTTGTGTGTATATATGTATTTATGTGCCTTCTTAATTGATTTTATTTAACATCTTTTGTTGTATATGTGCTTATTGACGGTCTTGTGCTGATTAGATATGTATCCGTCAGCACATAACATAATCATAAGCTACAGTTATTGATGTTTCCCTTCTCATTTTTTCCCCTTTTATGTGGAAAGTCTATTGGGAGGCATCATATATGCAATTTATGTTTGGATACTTTCTATTAATATGTGTGCTTATTGACGGTCTTGTGCTGAGTTGTTTCTCCATCAGGACATAACATAATCATAAGCTACATCTATTAATGCCACCTTGTCTTTCGTGTTTTCCTCCTACTTTATGAGGAAAGGCAATCCACATTGTGGCGGATATGACGTACACATAAATATATATATGTTTGTGGTGTATGCATAATTTCTGTTATATGTTGTGCATGTGCTTATTGATAGTTTTGTGCTGAGAAGATTTCCCTCCATCAGTACAGAACATAATCATAAGCTACATCTGTTAATGGCACCTTGTCTTTCATGTATGAGGAAATACAATCCAGCTGTGGCAGACATCATTTGTAAACATAAAGATGCATACATGTGTTGTCCTTAGTGCGTGTATATATTGATGTGTGTGTAGGTAGTTGTGGTTATTGGTAATTCATGTGTTTATGGACTGTCTTGTGCTGAAATTCCTCCATTAATACATAGCATAGTCAGAAGCTACATCTATTAATGCTACCTTGTCTTTCTTGTTTTTCCTCTTTTATGAGGAAAGGCAATCTGCATGTGCGATATGATGTATATTCAAATAAATCTGTTAGTGTTTGTGTTTTCCTCAAGCATATGTGCATGCCTAGAAGGTGCAGAGTGCCCATGAAGTGTCTGATGATTGATCAAGTTGGGTTGTCCTTCATTGATTTATCTTGTGTACTGAGCTATGCCAGTGGAACTTAGGTTTTACATTGGTTTGTGACTGAGCCTTTTTGTTGTACGTAATTGATTGATAATCTCCATTGTTCATCATCTTTGTAATTAGTGAACTTACTTTTTAGTTTTGGACCCTTCCATCTTTTAAATAAAAGGCTAGATGATTTCTTGCTTACATGTTATTATGTACTAATAATGGTATACAAGAGAAATACTAGTAACACTCACTTTGTCATTCTCTTTAACACTCACATTCTTCTTGTGACAGTGTACAAAAGACAAAGAATTGGTATTATAATATTTGAACTGATGATTTTGTCATTTATACACGAGTCACAAAGAGAATGAGTGTGTGTGTATAAGAGAGTGCAAAGTGAGTGTTTCTAGCATTTCTTTGGTATATAATATGAGAAAACCTATCATTTGGTTGGTTGTTTACTCGCTGTTATTATTAGATATTCTTTTTGTGTGAAGTTTATCATGTGTCATCGTTTCATTTAACTGACTGAGTTTAATGTTATTTTGTTATTATTAGATCTTTGTCATCTTAGTAATTATGTAGTGCCTATTATTATTAGATTTTTTTTTTTTTTTGTCAATTATCTCTTGTCCCCCCTTTATCTCTCTCAACCACAAATTCTAAATAGTCTGGACTCTTATATATTTGGTGGTCCACATTCAGATCCGTCCATTGTGGAGACATTATTTCCAAAACACCCAAGGGCTTATCTTTGTGGTTGATAGCAATGATCGTGACCGTGTGGTTGAAGCCAGGGATGAACTGCACCGGATGCTGAATGAGGTAATAAAATAAATCCTTATGCTATCTTTCATTTTGTCTTATGTTGAAATACTTTTGCAATATCATGATGCCAAAACTAAAATATAATGTAGAGGTGGAAAATGGTTTTAAGGGAATTTATTTGGCAATATTTTTCTTAATTTTTGTTTTTATTGTCAAAACTGGGCCTGTAATCAGATATTTTGTTCATTCACATATAGGATGAGTTGAGGGATGCTGTGCTGCTTGTTTTTGCAAACAAGCAAGATCTTCCAAATGCTATGAATGCTGCTGAGATCACTGATAAGCTTGGTCTTCACTCCCTTCGCCAACGCCACTGGTACATTGATGAAATAAACCCTTAACTCTCTACGTCTCCAGCACCTATAAAGTTCGAGTTTTCTTATTGAAGTTGAAATAATATTTTGTTCCTTTCAGGTACATCCAGAGCACATGTGCCACATCCGGTGAAGGACTCTACGAGGGGCTGGACTGGCTCTCCAACAACATTGCTAACAAGGTAGGCTCAACAGTTCATGTTTCTTCAAACTTGGAACCAATTTTATATCCGATATCCTAGTTCTGATTATATTCGCTTGTCATGGCAGGCTTGAGTGATTTGTTCGGGTTGGAGTTGAAGTGACATTTTCGGCAGTAATCTGTGAATTGTTACCATGTTTTCGGTGTTCTTGGATTATTATTATTATTTTTTTTTTTGGCCTTTGACAAAGATGTACTTGTTTGTGTTAGATATTTGTTACTATATATAGAAATTTGCTCATTTTCACTGTAGAGTTTAAATAAACTGATATGATTCACAGTTGAGATATGATTATCCTTTTACATTTTCAGTTCTCTTCAATTGATTGCCATTGCCAATTCTTTTGAGTTGACTTCCCTCTTTTCTATTTGCCAATCATTTGATTTTTTGTGGTTCCATTATTGTTAAACTTTTGTTTAACGGCATATATATCAGTGTTTTAATAACGGACCTGGGGTTAAACCTGAAAGTAGCCGGATCTGGGTAAAATCTCGCACTTGAGAATTTTGACACGTCTATGAATAAAACTCAAACAAAGTCAAATATTATACTTAAACATGTATAAGACTTCTGTCTCTTTTATTGATAAGTTAATTGTAATACATTCATTTTTCATACGGTGAAGTTTCTACATAACAACCTATAATTATAATTAGACAACCAGAGAGAGAGAGAGAGAGAGAGGAATATATATAATATATGTTGAGCGTCGTAACACCTTACGTATATGCATATATACCTACATACAATAAGTTAACGTGCGACCTATATATATATATATAATTAGTAATGTTTCTTCGAGCTTGATGAGCTAGTAGAGCCCTTAGTCTCCTTCTGGCAATTGAAAAAAACAGCAGCCAAGGGTGATCCAAAATTGTAAATCTCTGCAAACTCTCTGGTTATGAAGTTCTGGCGCCACCCTGGTGCATACACAGTTTGATTTCTGGGTTGCCGAAACAGCACAAAAACAAACCTGTGAATCCCCACTTTCGGTTTTGGGCTCTCATATTCAACAATCTCTTTGCCTAAAACAACATACAATAGTTTTTCAATCGTCGGTTCTTACGTTAAGAATTATTGAGTTAAGACAATAGAATAAGAAAATATCGACCAAGAAGAAACTGATTTATCTAAAAGCTTTAAAATTTTATGTTAATCGAAAAGGGAACTATTTCACCTAAAAGTTTTCATATTTTACGTTAACAATTGTCGAGTGACATATATATATATATAAAAGAGAAACAATTTCACCCAAAAGCTTTAATATTTATGTTGAACATCGGCAAGTCGAGACGTTAGAACCGGACAATATCTATAAAATAGAACCTATTTCACCTAAAAACTTTAATATGTAGTTTGTCGACTAGGATGAACTTATAAATCGTAAAAAATGACTATAGTACCTGTTTAGATTGAGAATTATCATGTTGAGACACGAAAACCAGCAAATATTATAGAATAAAAAGTGAAAATTTTATCTAAAACCTTAAATATTTAGTTCCATTGAGAGGTAAAGGTCTTTCGTTTAAACATGAACATAATCAAACACACTGAGACCCATTTGAAATAAAAAATTGATACAGAAAATCACTCACCATAAGTTGCTTCTGTTGTTTCCGGAATATCTGTCACCAACCTAACAACAATTCATCATTTTTTTCTTTCAAAAAACCAGTTAATTAATTCAAATATAAAAGAACAAAAATATTATATGTAACAAAGTCTAGCGGTTTCAGGAAAAAAAAAACTAGCGGTTTCAGAAAAAAATAAAAAATAAATAAATAAATAAAAAGATATATACCAATGCAAGTACTCTCTAAGGTTGGGGTCACTTGGACTGGGTGCATCAGGATCCACCATTACCTATAATGGAACCAAATTAGTATTAACCTTTTTTATTTANATATAAGAGAAACTATTTCACCCAAAAGCTTTAATACTTACGTTCTACTGAGAGGTATAAGGTCTTTCGTTTAAACATGAACATGATCAAACACACTCAGACCCATTTGAAATAAAAAATTGATACATAAAGTCACTCACCATAAGTTGCTTCTGTTGTTTCCGGAATATCTGTCACCAACCTAACAACAATTCATCATATTTTTTCTTTCAAAAAACCAGTTAATTAATTCAAATATAAAAGAACGATAATATTATATGTAACAAAGTCTAGCGGTTTCAGGAAAAAAAAAAAAAAAAAAAAAAAATTTAAATGAAAGATATATACCAATGCAAGTACTCTCTAAGGTTGGGGTCACTTGGACTGGGTGCATCAGGATCCACCATTACCTAAAATGGAACCAAATTAGTATTAACCTTTTTTATTTATAATAAACTAAAAATACTAGACTCTCCCGACGTAAATAATGTATTAAAATACATAAAATTATGCCCCTATAAAGACACTAAACTAATATAATGTTGAATCCTCATATACTAATTTAAGATTTTAGATGAGATGACGACTAACATGGATATTGAACTAATATAATGTTGAGTCTTCATCTACGACTTTTAAATAGGATGATAACTTAATATGATATTAGAACCAAATGTTTAAGTTCAAATCCCGACATTCAACTAGATTTAAAAAAGAAAAAAGGTGAGAAAATCAATGTTTTATGCGTGGAGTGGCCTATTGGGCTAAACTTCAGAATATCTAGATAAGAGAATTGAATTGCGACATAGAAATATTCATTAAAGTATAATTTCATGTCATAAAAAAAGTTTTTTTTTTGACGTGAAATAGTATGCGGGCAAAACTTTGGAATATCCTAGTTAGAAGAAATGAACAACGAAGAAGAAACATGCAATAGAATACAATTATGTGTTTTGAAAATATATGCATTGGAATATAATTACGTGTCTTAAAAGCATTCGTTAAGAACGTTATTATTAAGTAGATAAGGCTAAAGAAAATTAAGGTTCGACAACTTGAGAGGAGGGCCGTTGAGGCTTACCAAAGTGTAGAAGTTCGTGAAATTACTTCCACCAATAGCAACCTTAGGTTGTTTGGCAACTAGAGAGGGCTTGAGTTGAACACCATTGTGAACCTCCTTGTTGCCATAGGTAACAGAGAAAGGAAGAGACCTAGTGAAGTGTTCAAGAACATCTCCTACAACTCGGCCAACAACAAGAGGATCTCTGGAAGCACTTTCAGCATTGTCCTTGGAAGCCCTTTCCCAAGCCTCTCTATCCATGATATTGTTAGAATAATCAAGTGAAATACTGTTGGTTGGTATTGAATTTCAAGACTATATGGGAACTCTATTTATATTAATTTTTAAATTTATAGGTATTTTTAATTTTAATTTTAATTTTTATGATATTTTAGATTTATAAAGTGAAGTGGACCACCCTATCTTATTATATTCTGATTGAAAATTTTGTGCCTTAGTTGGTCCACAGCATCAATCCCATCATTTTATACCTTGTTTTCGGTATAAATCTTTTCATTTTGTTAAGGATTTGGTCATTCTTCTTCTGCGGAGTGCAGACGTCCTGATCATTTATTTATTTATTAAAATTCAAACGCATATTTCTGATGCTAGGAATTCAAAGGGCAAAATTTTTGAATAAAGATGGGCTCAGAATCTAATCTTATCAAACTTTACGAATTTTTTTTACAATCTCAACGTGACAGCTTGTAATTGATTAGTTTGCAATTAGGTAGACAGTCCACTGCGAGCTTACCAATTGCGAGTTATCACATCAGGGCTATAAGAGAAAATTTGTGAAATTGGATTATAAAACAGAGGCAGAGAGAGAGAGAGGGGTCAAAGATGGTCAGTTGACCCTCCTTGACTTTGAAAAATTATTAAAATTCAAACACACACACACACACACACATATATATCAAATTAAATTTTTAGTTTTTACAAAAAAATCCCACAAGTACATTTAATAAATTATATATATATTATTTAATTGTAAAAAGAACAAAATAAAGAAAGTTTGCATATCTTTTCGTATATTTTATAAAATAAATATCATTTCTAAAATTTGTTTGTCAAATTAAATTACTGTCAATTGTTTTGTGTTTCAATACTTATGTGTGTGTGTGTGTCTATATATATAAGAGATAACTTACAACCCACCATCACGGCCCCCTAGTTAAATTGTGAATGCTCAGATGGAGAATTGAACCTGAGACTGTGTGCTTATTCATATTATCTTTAATTTGTTCAACCATCTAGACTACCCATAGATGAGTCATATAAAAATATTGAAGTTAGAAAAAAAAAGATAAATATAAAAAATATGTATTTTGATGCATTATTTTAAGGGGTCGAAATATAAAAGTGAAATTACAATAAAAGTTATAATATTTTACTATAAAAGCTAGATAAATCTTTGAATATTTTATTAGTAGAAATTTTACTATAGTTTAATTTGGAGGTGTTGTTATTTGTGTCGGCTTAATAACTTGTTCATTAGTAAATTTTCTTGGTTTTGTTTTATACTCGTTAAAGTATTATAAATTTATTCCATATCGTCAAACACAATTATAAATATATTAATTATAAAGAGCATTATAAATAAATACTCATATTTTTGTATAACTTATACCCTATATATTATTTATTATAAGTTTATTTACAATGGTATTATCAAGTTTAATTAATGTCTTGACCCCCCCTAGAATGAGTTTCTAGCTATGCCCCTGATTGTAAGTGTAGTATTGTTTAAAATTTTCTACTACGTGGAGCAAGATAATTGGCAAAATGGGTGCGTTTGTTTAGATATTTGGAATAATATTTTTGAAATATTATTGCTAGGTAGAGTTGGGTAGTTATTATGAGGTAGTCGGATGGTTATTACGAAATAGAATTTAAAAATTAAAAATAGTTGAATAATTTAGAATAATATTTTGAGAATAGAAAAACAAACATGTATTTTGATTTGGAATACGAATAGAATATTTAAATAAACGCATCCAATTGTCTTTTAGTGTATTTCTACCATAAAAAATGGGTATCTAGATCTGAAAAAGATGAGGACATTGGCATATGAGCTTTTTTATGATTGACCGATAACCTCTTAATAAAAGGGATGATGTGAAAGATAAACGGAAATAAAAAGATAAAAGGTTCTGATAATGTGTCTATACATTTCATAGGTGGGAGAGCATCATGCTTTTTGAAGAGTTGAATGCGGTTAATTTCTTAGACAAATTAATCTTCCTTTATTCGACAATGAACTCAAGAGAGACATGCACTTGCGTATGGTCATCTAAGTTCATTGCATTATCATTTTGTTGCCGTCGTCCATTATCTCCTTCTTCTTCTTCCTTTTTTTTTTTTTGTGACATTATTGATTGTCTTATCTTCCAAAAGAAATATGGAAATAGACGCATGTTATGTTATTTATAGAAGATTATTAATGAATTTTTATTATGAGTAAACGACTTTTTCACACCCAAAGTTTGCCTTAATACACTTTCCCACCCAAAAAGATTCAAAATACCACTTTTCATCCAAATTTAATATTTCGTTACTACCTAAAGCCAATTTCGGTGACGAAAATTCTCCTAGTCACCACCATTTGAATCTTCGGTCTCCTCTCTACAAAACCCCTCTCACTTTTGCACCTGATTTTTCATCAATTGTCGACCACGAAAAATATAGAGTTTCATGTTCTTAACTGATTTTTTACGGCGAATATTCAATTGGTCACCATCATTCAGTCCATCGGCCTCCACTTTAAGAAAACCTTTTACCCTAGCTCCTTGTAACTCGTCGAACGTTGGTTGAGAAAGTGAAATATATTTTGGATATTAACATAATATAAACATTGGATGAGAAAGTGGTATTTTGAAACTTTTTGGGTGGGAAAGTGTCATTAAGACAAACCTTGGGTGGGAAAATGTCGTTTACTCTTTTTTATATATACATTATTTTCTCTGTTAAGTTGCCACCCTACCTAAAAGCTTAACTTAACATGGTATCATGTTAACTTAATATGGTATCAGAATTAAAGGTCTCAAGTTCAAATCCTCACATACAAACTAGATAAATAAAATTAACAAAAATTTCAAGTTTGATGTGAAGGAACTTATTATTTTAGTATATTGAGCTCTCACCTACCAGCTTAAACTTTTAGGTGAGATGATAACTTAACAAAATAAGTTTTTGATGAATTTTAAAACTAATATATGCATAAATACAAAAATTATATTGGTAATCGAGGTTCAAGGTTGAGAGAATAACTTTTCTCTTAGATTGATCAGATAATGAAATTCTCTAATAACTTAAGAATCTTGCCTTGCCCATATATTTTCAATTGCTTGCACCATTTTTGAACAAGCGTTAGCCATTAAACATTTCAGCGTTATCTAAAGAAATTCTCACTAGATAATTTTGACATTTTGAAAGAAACAAAAGTTAGAATATTACTTTGAAAAATTAGTACCCTTTTCATATATTGACTGAGATAATGCCCATTTATTAAGGAAATCAATATCTGTAATTTGGCAAGGAGTCTCATCATAATTCATAAATAAATTTTAACGCAACTTTTTATATTATTCATTCTTTTAGAATAATTTCATGACTAGAGTTTAATCAATTAGAAAATTCTAGTGATAATTTGACTATATCATTTCAGAAATTAAACTTATATAATTACTACCGAGTTAAAACTATATTTTATACTTCCTAATAATAAAAAACAACTCTAATCTTAATCAATCAGACATATGATATAAAAAATCCCTATACACCAAATAGTTAATTCGCAAAGAACACAAATAATATTTTGCTTCAATCTTCACCCATTTGGGAGCTGAGACTTATATCTAAACAATAATAACACAAAATTCCTGTAAATAATTAATAGGGGTAAAAATATTAATCTTTTTAGTACAAAAATTAAAGAGTAATGCTATGTTTACTCACGATCTTACTAACCATCTTATTATCCTTTGTTAAAATTATATATGATACCCATACTATGTGTATGATATCCGTACTATGCGTATATTTATACAGGATAATAAGATGGTTAGTAAGATTGTGAGTAAGCATAGTATTATTATATACTAAGAAAATTCATAAAAAAATCATGGAGATCAATGGGATCTGCAATCTGAAATTGACACGTGTTAGATAAATATCAAGAGAAAAGACCTTCATAGGAAGAGGAAAAAAAGAAAAAAAATTATGACAAATGGGACCCAATTAAAGAAAAACTTTTCTTCTGTTCCAAGAATCAATAGATGTGATTGGTCAAAAATAAAATAAAAAAAGAACCTTCCCAGTTAGAAAGGATTGGGTTGACATGGAGAGTGGAATGCTTCTCCACCTCACAATTAAAAGAAAGAAACATCGAAAGTATATTCTATGTAGTCTTAATGATGCCTTCAACCAAATTCTCCTCATGATTTTCTTGGCTTACTTGCTTTTACATTTAAAAGAAAGGAATCATTTATTGTACTTCATTGACTGGGTTACAAGCTCTGTTTTGAAACCTAGATCAGACCGATCGATTGAACCGGTTCAATCGAGAACCAATGTTGACTCTAGTTCGGTTTGAAGTAAAACTTGATTTTGCACTAAGATCCACTTTGGACTGGCGGAACAGTGCCAAACCGTTGGTCCGATCAACCCAGAGGCAAAACTGGGTTGCTAAATCACTAAATCGGTAAATCCTTAAAACAAAACTATTCTTCAAAAACGCATTTTCAATTCTTTGAGAAAAACATGGCTGCATTATTATCATAGGAGATCGTTAGTGGTCTAAAGATAACCTCAAGTAGCTCATAAATATAATTCTTCAACCAAATAGCCTAAGTGGTTGCCCCATAACATGCAAGGAATCCTACATACATGGTTGAAGAGGCTATCAATGTTTGCTTAACACTTTTTCACGATATGGTCCAAGTTGTAAGCATGAAAATGTATCCTGAAATAGATTTTAAGTTATCTAGACAACCACCAAAATTTGAATCAGAGTATCCCACTATTTCAAGATTTTCCATGCTTTCATATACAAGCATGAAGTCTTATGTCCTCTGTAGGTATCTCATAACTTTCTTGGCTGCAACCTAGTGATTAGAACCTGGATTTGAAAGATAACGACCAAGGACATTTACAGCAAAGGCTATGTTTTGTCTTGTGCATACATGTGCATACATCAAGCACCCAATGGTACTAGCATAAGAAATATTCTACATAGATGCCCTTTCCATATCACTTTGAGG